TCAGGGGCCAAGTGCCCCTGAGTTCAATCCCCAATACCTCAACAAAAGAATTATCAGAACCTCCTACCAAAATGCTGGATTGTATCCTGTTCACGGGACACAAATACTCTATGATGAAGCAAAGCCCAAGCCTGACCTAGGGACAGCTGGGGTTGAAGGTCAGCTGCCCCCTTGGAGGTGGGGAGAGGTTCAGGGGCAGGAGTTCCACCCCTTAGCTGAGTGGGGATGCTTACCCTGGGGCTGGACGACCATCCCTGGTGGGCAGACAGGGCGGGGAATGCAGCGGGCACAGGAGTTGGCGACTGGCACGGCGCAGAACAGGCCTGGCCGGCACTCGCAAACACGGGAGGAGTTCCAGGAGCAAGGCGCCTTCTCCACGAGGTCCTCTGTGGGACACAGAGAGGGCTCAGGGGGATGCACAGGATGGAGAGCAGGAGGTGCAGGGAGGCCCCCAGAGGACAGAGAAAGGAGAGTTTATCCAACAAGAAAACAAGGAGTCCCTGGCTATTCTGTTGGGAGGACCCCAGCCTGCTCCAAATGAGCCTCCAGGTCAGGGAAGGCAGAGGACAGAGGAGCACGCTGCAGGTTCTGTCCCCGTGAACTTCTCGGGTGCAGACCATTCCAGGCGATGGTAAGCGAGGGACAGCCTGGGATTGCAGGGTGGAGGGGCGACGGGCGCTGGCGGGGGCTTTGGGGGTGAGGGTTGTGTGTACCCCTGCATGCCCGGGTAGACGATCAAGCCAGACTTCACACGTGTGCACCTCTCTGCAGTGAACTGTGCCTCCAAAGAACTGTTTTTAAAAAGCACCTGGGGACAGGTGAGTGGGCTTAGGGAATGGACGAACTGCGCTTGGCCCAGACCGGGTCACAGGACGGAGCTGTTCCCGAGTCTTACTACATCTGAATATGTTTAATATTTTTAATGATAAAAAGGGTTTTTTACCCCAAAAGAAAACAATGAAAAAATAAAAATAAAACACTAGAGGTTTTGTAAAAGAAAAAGTGAAATACAGCTTTTATTTATGCTTGGGACTCTTTCTTTCTTCTGTCTCTCTGTCTGTCTCTCTCTCTCTCTCTCTTTTTAACCAGGGATTAAACCCAGGGATGCTTAACCACTGAGCAACATTCTCAGCCCTTTTTTAATATTTTATTTGCAGACGGGTCTCTAAGTTGCTTGGGCCTCTCTAAGGAAAAGAACCTTGCTTAAGCACGGGGCGTGTAACTCAGTGGTACGGTGCTCACCCAGTACTAAACAGAAAAAAGGGGAGAGAAAAGGAGAAAGAAAACTTCCTGGTTCCTAAGCTGTACTGGGAGGGCCACATTGACGCGGTCACCAGCCTGAGGCCACCAAGGCACTCTGGTGGATTTTTAGGTTCCATGGAACAGCTCACACTTTAGAGGGCGGAAGGAATTCTCGGCAGAGCCGTCTCTTCTCTCCGTCTAACAGGTGATTGCAGCAGACTTTGTTTTTACAAAAATGGGCCCGTCTGCTCTCCCAGGGCCTTGCCGCTTCCCCACCAAGAAGTGGAACTGCTTTCCTTCCTTCATGGCCCCCGAGATCTGGGACTGGCTCAGCAAACAGAAATGGCAGAAATAGCACCAGGTGACTTCTTAGGCAAGGTCATAAAAGGGGACGTGGCTCTCACTGGTCTCTCTTGGGATGTCCACCTTCAGGACCCAGCCACCAGGCTGTGAGGAAGCTCAGAGCAAGTCATACGAGGCTGAGGGAGAGGGCCGAGGCCCCAACCCACTGTGACAAGGACCCACAGCCTCCAGAAGAGTCTAGCCTCCAGCCTCCAGGGTTTCCATCTGAGACCCCAGACACTGGGGCAGAGACCAGCAGTCCCCTCGGTGCCCTGCCTGAACTGTGTCCCACAGAAGCCCAAGTTCAGTGAATGCTTTGTTTTGCTCTGCAGTCTTAGCAACGGGGGCAGAGATGCCCAATGACAACAAATGTCCTAACTCTCCGGTCCTCCTTGCTGCAGGAAGGAGGCCACAAACAGATGCAATCACACAGTCCTGGTGGCCTCCGTGTGTGAGGGCCACTAACAACACTGCAGTCTGCAGCTGGGCAGCCTCCCCTGCCCTGTGTGGCTCTTGTGGACAACGCAGGGCACCTGCTGTGAGCGGTCACAGGAAGAGACACATCTCATCAGTAGTGGCAGCGCTTGGCTGGAAGCTGCTCCCAGGGCTGTGAACAGAGTGACAAGAGCCCAGGACCTGGGGGCACGCTCCCCTAGGCTCAAACCCTGGCCTGTGCCTTTTGGAAGTCCCGGACCTCTGGAAGCCCCTATTTCCTCTTGTGTAAAATGAGGACAATCACA